CGCCGCGCAGCCCCGCCCCGGCCGGCGGCGCAGTAGGAGCGCGGAGCCCCGCGGAGCCGGGCGCGGCGCGAGTGAGGCAGGGGGTGAAGGGCGGGGGTGTCCACGCAGCCGGGGTTGATGTTTAACCTGGAGCGCCCGTTCACGGAGAGGGGCCGCTTCTTCTCCTCCATGGAGTACCAGCGGCAGCTGGAGGAGGAGGAGGGGTACCCGCCTCCCGGCGCCAACGGGACCTTCAACGACAGCGGGGCCGGGCCGGGCTGGGGCACGCCGTACCCCCTGCACACCACCGTCACCCTCATCAGCCTGGCAGGCTTGCTCATGCTCTTCACCGTCTTCGGCAACGTCCTGGTCATCATCGCTGTCTTCACCAGCCGGGCGCTCAAGGCCCCCCAGAACCTCTTCCTGGTCTCCTTAGCTTCGGCTGACATCCTGGTGGCCACGCTGGTTATCCCCTTCTCCCTGGCAAACGAGGTGATGGGGTACTGGTACTTCGGCAAAGTCTGGTGTGAGATCTACCTGGCCTTGGATGTGCTGTTCTGCACCTCCTCCATCGTACACTTGTGTGCCATCAGCCTGGACCGTTACTGGTCTATCACGCAAGCCATCGAGTACAACCTCAAGCGTACCCCGCGCCGCATCAAGTGCATCATCTTCATTGTCTGGGTCATCTCAGCTGTCATCTCTTTCCCACCGCTCATCTCCATTGAGAAGAAGAGCGGGCAGCAAGCTGACCAGGGGGTGGCAGGGTGCAAGATCAACGATGAGAAGTGGTACATCATCTCTTCTAGCATCGGCTCCTTCTTTGCCCCCTGCCTCATCATGATCCTGGTCTACATGCGCATCTACCAGATAGCTAAGAGGCGAACCAGGGTACCGCCGAACAAGCGGGCAGAACGTCTTGAGAAGAGGCAGAACGGCTTGGCCGACAAAGAGAACCTGCCAGCCACAGCCCAGCTCAATGGGGAGAAGGCGGCAGGAGGCGGCGGTGAGCAGGAGGGAGAGGTCAACGGCATAGACATGGAGGAGACCTCTTCCTCCGAGCACCAGGAGAACAACCAGTGTAAGAAGTCAGAGAGACCGTCAAGGGGAAAGACCAAGACGAAGCTGAGCCAGATTAAGCCCGGGGACAGTTTGCCGAGGAAGGCAGAGGAGGAGAGGAACACCAAAGGGTCCCGGTGGAGGGGCAGGCAGAACCGGGAGAAGCGCTTCACCTTTGTGCTAGCGGTGGTGATTGGGGTCTTTGTCATCTGCTGGTTCCCTTTCTTCTTCACCTACACGCTGACGGCCGTCTGCAAGAGCTGCTCCGTGCCTGACACCCTCTTCAAGTTCTTCTTCTGGTTCGGTTACTGCAATAGCTCCTTGAACCCCGTCATTTATACCATTTTCAACCATGACTTCAGACGGGCCTTCAAAAGGATCCTCTGCAGGATAGAGAGGAAAAGGATTGTTTGAAGGACCCTTTGCTATGGGCAGGACTAATTCAAGACTTTGTAGGAGACTAAGGCATGGCTCTCTTGGGCTGTGCTTGCATGGGATGGTTTCCTTCAGCTCGCAAGCAGGAAGCCTTTAAAACCCGAGATAAGCCTACGGAAACACCGGGCAGCAGCAGCAAGGAGAAGCAGGCAAGTGGAAGTCCGAGCTGTGGCATTCGGCTTTCCAGGGGAGGATGGCCTTTGACTTGCTTGGTTTATTTTGTTAGTTTTTTTTTTCTTTTGCCAGAATCTCTCAGTGGATATTTTCATGACCGCTCAGTTTGACTCTTTAAAGACAAGCAATGTGCAGCTCCGTGAGATGAACAACAAAGAGGGAGTATGCCACCCCAGAGGTGTTGGTTTTTTTATTTTGTTATGTCTTTTTTTTCCTGTTGTATATGTAATTAATTTTAACCCCCTTGTAAAATACAGTATTGTATCCCCGAATCTGAATGTCTTAATTTTTGGAAGGCAAGCAGCTTTGAAACTGTGAATGCTTTAATTATCTTTGACACTTAAAAGTCCCTCTCTTCCCACCCCTGAAACCCCCCTCACTCAAAACCGCTGAACAACTAGAGCCATTCCCCCTACCTGTCAGTTTGATAATATTACCGAAACTTCCAATGTCCAGTCATTTTTTTTGGCTGTAAAGCTTAGGATCACAGACCTCACCAGACTGGCTATTTTTGTTGTGGTTTTTTTGTATCGTACCTGATTCTGTTTAATTTTCTGTGTTGCCTGTGATATAAAACAGCTGAGACGGTAACTGCCCTCTCGTTACTCATTAAAGCAGACCTGACGGAGCGGTGGCTTTGCTGTGCAGGCAGGGACGTCCTGGGCGATGGAGTGACAGGCTATTTCCCGTGCAACGTGAGGCTTGGGACCCGGCCACGCTCCCCACGAGTTAATCTCTGTTGATGTTATACCACACTGCAGCACCAAAATGTGTTCGATGCTAACTCGCTTCCCCCGCCTCCAACTGTAAATAGATAACATTTCACAGCAAATAGCAGGGCTCCATATATCGTGTTATCTCATTTGTATTGGTTTGTGGTGGTTTAACTACAGCAGGATTTCCTGCAGAAGAGGAGGGGGTTTATGCGCAGAGGCTGTTCCACCTTTCTGAATTAAGGGAGAAGAGTTCGGTTTTTAATCTGCCAGTCTCATCTTTCCTAGGAAATACGAAAGCATCCCTCTTTCAGTCTTATACAGGGCAAAACTCCGAAATGGGAAACTTAACTGACAGTTTCTCCAGTATTTTATAGTGTAATTAAGCTTTTTTTTTTAAAAAAAAAAAAGAAATGTGTAAATATTGTGAGATTGGAGCAGGAGAGAGAGTTAATACTGCTTTTACACTCCTTTCCTGAAATGTCTTTCGGCTCTTTCTGCTAAAAAAAAATACAAAAATGGACAGAACAAATCTAACGTCCTTGTGCCATGAAGAAATTTCTGGAGAATATTAAAAGGAAAAACTTTTCATCCATCACAATAAATGAGTCTGCAAGCCTATTAATGTTATGAAAACAGCTTTATCAAGTACTGACAAGTCATAGAAATTGTTTGGAGAAAGCAAAGTTTGTGTAAGTCTCATGTATAAGATGAATTTGCCTTCTCTAGAGTCATATGATGCATAGGAAGAGACTTTTAAAAAATACCTTTTTACTTTTGGGAAGTGTTTTGTTGATTTTGCTCTCTCTTTTGACTTTGTAATTAACTCCAGGGGTCCCTGGATGCATCTTGGGACCTGGAGAGCAATGTTTACATTCACTTGCATTTTCAGAATTGAATCCTCAAGAGGTGAGGAAAGCAAATAAACTGTGCTTTACTGTAAAGAAAAAACACAACCACGAGCAGAAGTTGCTATAATGGATAATTATTTTTATTAAATAAAAGAGCGTTTACAGATCAAGTGTGAAAACTCTCTGGATAATCTGTTAGCTGTTTTATTTTTTTTTTTCCCCAGCTGTTCACCGATCCTCCGGCAGCTTTGATCTTGACATTTTTTAAAGAACACATTGGGAAAAGCACTCGTGTTTTCTGAAAGGTGTTGTTACCCCAGGTAGGGAACAATGGCTCGGTTCATTGCGCAGGTGGCATAATGACAAATAAGTCCTTGATATTTCTTGGTTCCGCCCCCCCCCCCTTCATGCCACAGTAAGAGCATTCATGTGTTTCTTAAAGAAAAGAGCTCAGGGTTTCAGGGTGTGATTTGCTCCCTGGCAGTGCAGCCTGGCACTATTGCTGGGGACGCCTGGCTGGTGCACCATTTACAGCTATTGAGTTGAGAAGGTTTTTAATAATTAGGTTGCAGATGGGATTAGAAACGATTAGGCTGGAAGGCAATATTTCTTGATATATTCAGGAGTGTCCATCTGAGTGGGGCTTTGTTTCCAGCCCCTGAGAGCCAGCCGGCCAGGCTCACTTACCCTTACACCAGTGCTGCCGAGACCCTCCCTGCAGGAGGGTGATGGGGGATCGTTCTTCCACCGAATGAAGCACTGCTTCTGTGTGGCTGCCTGCCTCCCTGAGGATGCCGGGGTCCACTCACCACCAGCTTCAGCTGGGCTCCTTCTTTGCCACAAGTGCCAGGTAGCTCCAAAGGCGTGGGGGGCATGAGGCGCCGATCCCGCGAGTGCTTTAGTGTGTGCTTCATTTTGCCCAGGAGCACGTGTAACTGTTTGGGAGCTCTGGCTCCTGGTCTTCCCACTGTTGGAGTGCCTGGAGTCACCCTGCTTCCCTGCTCTGCTTCTTGTTTGGTGAGAAAACAAGTGACCAGAGCCCAGTGCTGGAGCTGCTGGTCTCATGGCCCCACTCTGCCACTGCCACCAAGGTTGCAGTTGGAGGTGCTCGGCAAGCTGGGAGGTGGACCAGGGCTGGCAAGCAGCATCGCTGCTGGGTGTAGGGCACCTGGTGACAGCCCAGAGATGAACCTTTTTGCCACCTCATGGTGGCCTTTGCAGGCCAGGAGGGCTTGATCTGGGCAGAGTGTCCTGCTGTCCATCCTCTAGTCTCAGCTGGCCCTGTTGGCCTTGAAGGGTTTTACAAAGCAGACCCCATGAGGCAGGAGGTAATACAGCAGCCATGGGTTATGCTTGCCCCATCCCTCTGGCTGTCTGATGTCCTCATGGCCGAACCTCTAGTACAGACAGTAGAGTATTTTGGTGGGTTTGGGGCTGGGGGACTGGGGCTTTGGTGGGCTTTCAGTTAGTGAAGCTTTGCACAGCTGAAGTGTCTGATTGCTCCCAATTTTCCATCAAAAGTAAAAGTAAGGTGCAAAAACCTGAAATTATGCCTCCAGGGTTGTGTCCCTCCCAAAACCTCGTGCCCTCATGGTTTGGCCTAGGCAAATAAAATACTCAAGGGGCTGTTTTATGCGCGGGCAGTGACTCCCTGCACCTGACATGGCAGAGCTGCCTGCCCGTCCTTGTGGCCAGTGTCTGAACTTCCACCATCCTGCTGCCTTTGCCACCTTCCGACTCAGGCTTTTATTTCATTTTCCCTGAGCTGTTGGTCATTTTGGTTTCAGCTGTGTCCTGGACCCTCCATGCCTGCTGGGGATGGGCACGTCCAAGCCGCAGCAACCTCCGGGCACCGTGGGCTGTGTGGTGGAGGTGCTGGGCTGAAACCACCGTCACTTTCCTTTTGGTAGGTGAGGACCAGCCCCACTCCCTCTGAGCCAGAGGTCATGTTGCTGTGGGCTTTGCTGGGATGCTCCCTCCGGCTCTACCATAACCATGTCCAGCTCTGCTGTTTCGCTCACCTCCATGCCTGCCCCATCTCACTGTGGTGCTGAATCCCACCGCCCTTGCCTGGTCCCCATGCCCGGCTCTTCCCCTTCCCCCTGCCGAATCCCTCCTCAACAAGAGAAAGCTGCCTCATTGCTCCCAGCTCATTCCCATGCAAATGACACATTAGGGGATGTAATGAACTTTGGTTGTTTTTTATAACCTTTTAGTTTGGGGCTGAAAGGTTAATGGTGTGAGGGCGGGGAGGGGGACCTGTCTCCCCACTGGGGTGGGAGCCATCTGGGCTGGCACAGCAAACAGTGGGCAGAGGTGCTGCTGACGGCTTTGCCCCAGGAGGGGTTTCTCCACAGCTTTCCTGTGTGGGGTGACCCTGCACCCCACCCCTTGTGTGGGGACCCCTGAGGACAGCCCAAAGGTGTCAGCTCAGGGACATGAAGGAGGGGTGGAGGTGAGATGTGGCAAGCGTCCCAAAATGTCCCCAGGGGCGAGCTGCACGAGCAGCAGAGTTGCCCTTGCAGAGACTGGTGACTGCCTGCCCAGGGCTTGTCCCTGACCCCTTCGGCCTGCTGACACATGCATTTATTTCTGTGGGGTTTTGGTCCCTGTTCTCTGGGGCACAAGGAGCTGGTCACGCAGAGGAACCTCTCCGAGATATTCCAGCGAGGGATGGACTTGATCCGAATCACTCTGCTCACGCAAAATGGGTTTCCCATCCTGGGGGAGTCTCTGTGGGTTTGAGCCCATATCCGTCAGCTGTCCCGTGCCCTAAGTACCCTCATCCCACCCAGCATCCCCTCGCCCAGGGGGTGCTGGACCTGGTGCCCTGCGACGTCCCTCTGGTTTGGGTTGCTGGCCTGGCTGCCTGTGAGGTTCTCATCAGCTGAATCTCTTTGTTTTATTTTATTTCTTAACATTCCCTGTTCTTTCACCACTGAACAGTTCAAAGTTTGCCGAGATTCCTCCTTTATTACAGCTGGTGCCCTGGCAGGCAGCTACACTTGGAGCTGTCTCACCGTTTCTGCTACGAACCACTCTTTGCAGCTGGTTTATAGTAACATCTCTGCGACTTGTTAAGTATTTGTAGCTGTGATTGCTGTGCCTTATCCCAAGCTGTAGAAATGGAGTGAAGAGAGAACAGGGTTAGCGGGGAGCCCACTCCCTGCATTAGTCGCTAGTACTCAGTCAGCTCACAAATGCTCCAGGACCTGATCCGCTAGTAGTCAGCTCACAAATGCTCCAGGACCTGATCCTGACCCCTCTGTGAATAGAAAGGGTTGTAGTCTGAGCCCTGGGAAGTCCAGGTGAAATTCCAGCTGGGGGTCATGCTGCAGTAATGCTGCACGAGGCCACAGCACACTCCCAAATGTCCCCAAGGCTGAGCAGAGGGGATGGTGAAAAGGGCTGAGGGGGGCACCATAAAACATGTCTTCCTTGGATTGGACCGTGGCTGGTCCCAGGAGGGAGGTTTCTTGCAAGCAGAGGAGAAGGAGACCTGCTGTCATGGGGCAGGGAATGTTGGGAGGTGTTGCATGGAGATGCTGATGCTTGAGCTGGTCATTCAACATCCCTTCCTTCTTGAGGGACCTTCTTGGCCATTTGAGTGGTCCCCTAGAAGTGCTCATTTCCCAGAAAGGACCACCAGTGTGTGAGCACAACATCTCACAGCCAGGTCTATAGGGACGTGAGATGGGTCCCAGCACCCAAATCCAACAAAGAGGCATGAGGACAAACCATAAAAGGGAGCAAGAAGGCATGTCCCTCACTTGAGCATAGGTGTCTATCAGTA